AGGAAAGTGATAAGAAATGGAACCAATGGAACGAGAGGTAAATAGCCTATACTCCGAATTTTATAAAAAAACCGAAAGAAAGAGATAACGTAAAAAGATAGATAAACAGAGAAACAAAGACACAGAGATGCATATGCCCTCGCAGGAATAACAAACAAACAAACAAACAGATATAGATAGATTTAAAAGATTAAAACAACAAGAAAGAAAAACAATATTCATCGGGTGTGTGTAGGGGGGGGGGCTACACTCGACCTCTTAAATTGCTCAGGCCTCGTATAATTACCTATAATTAAAGATGGTGTGAATTATGTGACAACTCCTGCAACACTGGCCCGGGGAACAGCGTATTTTAATTATCCGGAGCAGTTCATCAACAGCATATGGTGTCGAGGATTGTGCCATTCATCAAAGAAACCTTACATCCACCCCGGCACAATGCAGCTGGCAACACCATCCTCCTCCCCCTCCCCCCCCTTCCCCTTCTCCTCCTCTCCCTGCCCCCACTCCCTCCCCCCTCTCCTCCTCTCCCTCCCCCACCCCTTCCCCTACTCCTCCTCTCCCTCCCCCACCCCCTCCACCTCTCCTCCTCTCCCTCCCCCACCCCTTCCCCCCTCTTCTCATCTCCCTCCCCCACCCCCTTTCTCCTTGCTTCCTCTCCCTCCCCCCCCTTCCCCCTCTCCTCCTCTCCCTTCCACCCCCTTCCCCCTTGCTTCCTTCCTCTCCCCCATCCCTTCCCCTCTTCTCCTCCCGGTCTCTCCGGCTACTTTCCTCTCCTCCCCTTCCCTCCCCCCTTTGTTTTCCTCCTCTCCAACACTGCTTTTCTCTTCGTCCCCTCTTCCCCTTTCATTTCCTATTGCCCTTTCTTCCACATTCTTCTTAGTTTACTCTTTATACTTCCCTAATCTCTCCTTCCCCTTCATCTCCCTAATTTCCTCCTCTCCCTCTCCTTCCCCTTCATCTTCCTAATTTCCTCCTCTCCCTCTCCTTCTCTCCATCCTCCTACTTTCCTGGTCTACTCTTCGCCCCCTTCCATAATTACTTCCGCGACCCCCCCAACCCGTATTTCTTCTCCCTTCCTCCTTCCTCCCCTCTCCTTGCTCCCCGTCTTATCTATTTTCCTATCAATTCTCTTCCTCTCTTTCGTTCCTTTCTCTCCTTACTTCCCCTTGACTCTCTCCCTTCCTTCCACCTTCCCTCCCTCTCTCCCTCCCTCCCACCCTCCCTCCCTCTCTCCCTCTCTCCCTCACTCCCTCCCTCCCTCCCTCCCTCTCTCCCTCCCTCTCTCCCTCCCTCCCTCCCTCCCTCCCTCCCTCCCCTAAGGGTTTCTGTCCTTTGTGTTTTTTATCGCCGCGCTTCCCCCTTCCTTCCTCTCCTTCCCTTCTCTCTCTTCTTTCTTCGTTTTTCCTTTTCTTTTTCTATCGTCCTTCTTTTTCTTTCCGTTTCTTCTGTCCATTATTGTTAACGGTGAGGAGAGAAAGGGAAGGCAGAAGGGAGAGAGAGAAAGAGAAAGAGAGAGAAAGAGAGAGAGAGAGAGAGAGAGAGAGAGAGAGAGAGAGAGAGAGAGAGAGAGAGAGAGAGAGAAAGAGAGAGAGAGAGAGAGAGAGAGAGAGAGAGAGAGAGACAGAGACAGACAGACAGACAATCAGACAGACAGACAGAGACAGACAGACAGACAGAGAGAATCAATAATTGAAAAGAGAGAAGGATAAAGGACGGAAGTAGACCAACATAATTAATTACAGCGAATAAGCGGAAGGGAAAACGAGAAAAGCACAATGCGAGATGAAGAGAAAGAGAATCAAAACAATGTCAAAAGTGGAGGAAAAGGGACCCGGGAACGAAGAGATGGGAGGGGAGGGGAGGGGGGGGGGGCGAGGCAGAGCGTAAACAAAGTTGCATCTGAATATTGTTGATTTTCCATTTCCTCCCTTTCCTCTCTTTCAAAGGGGGGGCGAGGGGAGAGTAGAGTGAAGGAGGGAAGGAGGGAGGGGAGAGTTAGAGTGAGAAAGAGAATGAGAGATAGGAAGAAAGAGAGAGAGAGAGAGAGAGAGAGAGAGAGAGAGAGAGAGAGAGAGAGAGAGAGAGAGAGAGAGAGAGAGAGAGAGAGAGAGAGAGATACCAACAAACCAAGGGAGGGAGAGGGAGAGGGAGAGAGAGAGAAAAAAAGAGAGAGAGAGGAAGAAAGAGAGAGAGAGAGAGAGAGAGAGAGAGAGAGAGAGAGAGAGAGAGAGAGAGAGAGAGAGAGAGAGAGAGAGAGAGAGAGAGAGAGACCAACAAACCAAGGGAGGGAGAGGGAGAGGGAGAGAGAGAGAAAAAAAGAGAGAGAGAGGAAGAAAGAGAGAGAGAGAGAGAGAGAGAGAGAGAGAGAGAGAGAGAGAGAGAGAGAGAGAGAGAGAGAGAGAGAGAGAGAGAGAGAGGAGAGAGAGAGAGAGAGAGAGAGAGAGAGAGAGAGAGAGAGAGAGAGAGAGAGAGAGAGAGAGATACCAACAAACCAAGG